TCCCCGCGCCCCATCCAGCAGGCAAGGAGGTAAACCAGTCATCAGCCAGACAAAAGACCAATAATAGATGACAAATCGACTATAAAAGCTTTATCAACACCCACAGTGATGCGGGGGAGCAGTACTTTGGGTGAGACAAAGCACAGGATGATGTGGTCAGTGAGGTGAAGGTGAGGCCAGTCAGGTGATGCTGAGTAATTATGTATGTTTATATTTATGAAGTATTAATTCAGCCAGAGTGTGAGTTATGTATGAGTGGTGTATGATGACTGGAGACTTCATACACGCATGTATAGTTTTATTTTGTCTCTCTGGTGATGAGTTGAGCATCCTTCCTTCAACTAATGTGCCTCATTTTGTACGCTATAGGTCCCCAACGTACCAAATAAGGGGTGCTAAGAGAAGCAGCGGCACACATATATTCAAGTTTTGTTTCGGCGCATTGGCTATGTTACGTTAAGTGGGTTCGTGTGTTTTAGTTCCCCATATATTGTACGTTGGGGTGACTCACAGGAGCAGGCGGGTACGTTGGTGTTTAGAAGAGGGCTTGTTCATCGCCAACACTGTTGGTGATGAACACTGTTGGTGATGAACACTGCTGGTGATGAACACTGTTAGTGATGAACACTGCTGGTGATGAACACTGTTGGTGATGAACACTGCTGGTGATGAACACTGTTGGTGATGAACACTGCTGGTGATGAACACTGCTGGTGATGAACACTGTTGGTGATGAACACTGTTAGTGATGAACACTGCTGGTGATGAACACTGTTGGTGATGAACACTGCTGGTGATGAACACTGCTGGTGATGAACACTGTTGATGAACACTGTTGGTGATGAACACTGTTGGTGATGAACATTGTTGGTGATAAACACTGCTGGTGATGAACACTGCTGCTGATGAACACTGCTAGTGATGAACACTGTTGGTGATGAACACTGCTGGTGATGAACACTGCTGGTGATGAACACTGTTGGTGATGAACACTGTTGGTGATGAACACTGTTGGTGATGAACACTGTTGGTGATGAACACTGCTGGTGATGAACACTGTTGGTGATGAACACTGCTGGTGATGAACACTGTTGGTGATGAACACTGTTGGTGATGAACACTGTTGGTGATGAACACTGTTGGTGATGAACACTGTTGGTGATGAACACTGTTGGTGATGAACACTGCTGGTGATGAACACTGCTGGTGATGAACACTGCTGGTGATGAACACTGATGAACACTGTTGGTGATGAACACTGCTGGTGATGAACACTGGTGATGAACACTGGTGATGAACACTGGTGATGAACACTGGTGATGAACACTGGTGATGAACACTGGTGATGAACACTGGTGATGAACACTGGTGATGAACACTGGTGATGAACACTGGTGATGAACACTGGTGATGAACACTGGTGATGAACACTGGTGGTGAACACTGATGAACACTGCTGGTGATGAACACTGCTAGTGATGAACACTGCTGGTGATGAACACTGCTTGGTGATGAACACTGCTAGTGATGAACACTGTTGGTGATGAACACTGCTGGTGATGAACACTGCTGGTGATGAACACTGCTAGTGATGAACACTGCTGGTGATGAACACTGCTGGTGATGAACACTGCTAGTGATGAACACTGCTGGTGATGAACACTGCTGGTGATGAACACTGCTGGTGATGAACACTGCTAGTGATGAACACTGCTAGTGATGAACACTGTTGGTGATGAACACTGCTGGTGATGAACACTGCTAGTGATGAACACTGCTAGTGATGAACACTGTTGGTGATGAACACTGCTGGTGATGAACACTGCTAGTGATGAACACTGCTGGTGATGAACACTGCTGGTGATGAACACTGTTGGTGATGAACACTGCTAGTGATGAACACTGCTGGTGATGAACACTGTTGGTGATGAACACTGCTAGTGATGAACACTGTTGGTGATGAACACTGCTGGTGATGAACACTGCTGGTGATGAACACTGCTGGTGATGAACACTGCTAGTGATGAACACTGCTAGTGATGAACACTGTTGGTGATGAACACTGCTGGTGATGAACACTGCTAGTGATGAACACTGCTGCTGATGAACAATTGCTGCTGATGAACACTACTGGTGATGAACACTGCTGGTGATGAACACTGCTAGTGATGAACACTGCTGGTGATGAACACTACTGGTGATGAACACTGCTGGTGATGAACACTGCTAGTGATGAACACTGCTGGTGATGAACACTGTTGGTGATGAACACTGCTAGTGATGAACACTGCTGGTGATGAACACTGCTAGTGATGAACACTGCTAGTGATGAACACTGTTGGTGATGAACACTGTTGGTGATGAACACTGTTGGTGATGAACACTGCTGGCGACGAAAAAAATCGAAGTGAAGAGTCACGGGAGAGAACGCCAGCGCAGGTACTGAAGAGTGTGCTCGACTAGCAGTGAGGAGGTGCCCGGGAGCTAGAGATCTGTTGTGGGTGGCATCCTGAAGGTGGTCAGTTGGTGGCCTAGTAGATGGTTGAAGGGCGTTAGTACTTATAACTCAGTATACTAAGATAGTAACTTATAACTCAGTTAATTTATAACTGATAAACACGAGCGTGGCAGATTTTGAAAGAGAAAGTGACAACATGCCCGTGCACTCAGCCCCGGGTCCAAGACTCGTGGAATTCAATATTTATAAAGAAATGCAAGGTGCCAGTAGCACAGGTACTCAGTAGAGTGGAGGAAGAGCTTGGACACGGGGGAGATACCAGATGAAAGCAGCAGACATGGCCCCTCTACACAAGGGAGGGAACAAAGCATTGGCAAAGTATTATAGACCAGTTGCACTAACGTCCCACATAATAAAAGTATTTGAGAGAGTGATCAGGAGTCAGGTCACTAGTTTCATGACCTGCTCAACCCAGGCCAACATGGAAATAGAGCGGGAAGATCATGCCTCTCACAGCTACTTGATCACTACAACAAAATCACTGAGGCATTAGAAGAAAAACAGAATGTAGATGCGGTATACACGGGCTTTGCAAAGGCATTTAACTAAAGTGACCATGGAGTGATAGCACACAAAATGAAGTCAATGGGAATAATTGGTAAAGTAGAACGCTGGATACTATTTTCTGTTCAACAGAACACAAAGAGTAACAGTCAACACTTCAAAATCGAGTCCAAGCGCAGTTAAAAGCTTTGTACCTCAAGGTACAGTCCTTGTACCACTGCTTTTTCTTATGCTCATATCAGATAAAGACTCAATTACAAGTCACAGCTTCGTATCATCCTTTGTAGTTGCCGTAACAGCATGAAAATGACCGCTGATAAATACATTGAAAAACTACAAGCAGATATTAATAAAGTTTTCGACTGGGCAGCAGAAAATAATATGATGTTTAACAGTGAAATTTTCAGGAACTCAGGTACAGTAAAAATGAGAACCTTAAACATAAACAGGGTACAAAATACAATCAAATCTGCCCATAGTAGGAGAGCAAGGATTTGGGAATAATAATGCCTGACAACCTAACGTTTAGAGAGCATAACCAAACAAATATTCCGTCAGCCAGAAAAATAATAGGATGGATTACGAGAACCTTCAAATCCAGGGCTCCCATCACGATGGTTGAACTATACAAATAACTTGTGTTGTCCCGTCTTGAGTACTGCTCAGTGCTCACTTCCCCCTTTAGAGCAGGAGAGATTGCTGAAATAGAGGGAGTATAGAGAACATATACGGCATACATAGACGTGATAAAGCACCTAAATTATTGGGATCGCCTCAAAGCTCTCCAAATGTACTCACCAGAAAGGAGAAGAGAGAGATATCAAATAATATACACGTGGAATGTGTATAAATCGACTTGAGAATGGTCCAGGACGGACCGAAACGTCGTCGTCTCTTCACTTTCTAGTGTGTGGTCTGGTCTACACGTGGAAAATACTGGAGGGCCAGATCCCAAATTTACACAGTAGAGTAACAACTTACTGGAGTGAACGATATAGAAGCAAATGCAAAATAGAACCAGTGAAGAGCAGAGGTGCCATAGGCACAATCACTGAACACTGTATAAACATCAGAGGTCCGCGGTTGTTCAACATCCTCCCAGCGAGTATAAGAAATATTGCCGGAACAACCGTGGACATCTTCAAGAGAAAACTAGATAGATTTCTTCAAGGAATGCCGGACCAACTGTGATGGGTATGTGGGCCGCTCCAAGCAACAGCCTGGTGGATCAAACTCGCACAAGTCAAGCCTGGCCTCGGGCCGGGCTTGGGGAGTAGAAGAACTCGCAGATTAATAACCCTCCACAGGGTGATAGATTTTAATAACTCTCCAGAGGTTGAATGCCTTTAATAACCCTCCTAATTGATGGGCCTTAATAACCCTCCAGAGGATGATGGGCCTTAATAACCCTCCAGAGGATGATGGGCCTTAATAACCCTCCAGAGGTTGATGGGCCTTAATAACCCTCCAGAGGTTGATGGGCCTTAATAACCCTCCAGAGGTTGATGGGCCTTAATAACCCTCCAGAGGTTGATGGGCCTTAATAACCCTCCAGAGGTTGATGGGCCTTAATAACCCTCCAGAGGTTAATGGGCCGTAGTAACCCTCCAGAGGTTGATGGGCCTTAATAACCCTCCAGAGGTTGATGGGCCTTAATAACCCTCCAGAGGTTAATGGGCCTTAATAACCCTCCAGAGGTTGATGGGCCTTAATAACCCTCCAGAAGTTGCTCCCATCTCCCATTCCAGATGGGTTCACTCCCATCTTCTCCCCTCATTCTCCCCTCTCCCTCACTCCCTCTACCCACAGTAAACTCACCACTACACACCTCCTCCCCCCCCCCCCCTCCTGACCAGCCTCCCCAGACACACTCCTGTAAACTAAACTAACTTCAGCCTCAACCACATTCACGGTCCTGAAACCAGTTTCGTAATTATGTGTACTACTCCGCTGAACATATTTTCTGCACTAATTACAGGTACTAATTAAGTGAACTAATTATGTACATTAATTACACGTACCGTGTGTGTTTGCTCATTAACTTTGATAGTACACGCATATATTCATTAAGAAATGAGTTGACTCTTGTTTCGTGTGTGAGTGGTCGAAAGGCTTAGGATTTTTTTCGTAAATAAAGATTGAAATTATAAATTTGTTAAATGTTCCGTAGTTCTCGAGGTAAGTCTGAAATCGTCAGGCTTTGTATATATGGGAGATTTTGGTGGAGTTATGAATCCATCTATCGACCTTTAAGATTCCGCCACTGTCTATCGGTTTTCCGTGTTCCAGCTCTATCTATCGCATTTTTAATTCAGCTATGTGCATTTTTAACTTTCATATTTCCGTTATTTCTATTGTTTTCCGTATTCCAGTTTTATCTATCGCATTATCTATCATTTTTTCATATTGCAGCATCATCTGTATCTATATCTATCTATTACAATAACGGTCACATACACCCTGACCTATCCCTCCCACAGTCAGACACACCCTGACCTATCCCTCCCACAGTCAGAAACACCCTGACCTATCCCTCCCACAGTCAGACACACCCTGACCTATCCCTCCCACAGTCAGACACACCCTGACCTATCCCTCCCACAGTCAGAAACACCCTGACCTATCCCTCCCACTGTCAGACACACCCTGACCTATCCCTCCCACAGTCAGAAACACCCTGACCTATCCCTCCCACTGTCAGACACACCCTGACCTATCCCTCCCACAGTCAGACACACCCTGACCTATCCCTCCCACAGTCACACACACCCTGACCTATCCCCTCCCACAGTCAGACACACCCTGACCTATCCCTCCCACAGTCAGAAACACCCTGACCTATCCCTCCCACTGTCAGACACACCCTGACCTATCCCTCCCACAGTCACACACACCCTGACCTATCCCCTCCCACAGTCAGACACACCCTGACCTATCCCTCCCACAGTCAGACACTCCCTGACCTATCCCTCCAACAGTCAGACACACCCTGACCTATCCCTCCCACAGTCAGACACACCCTGACCTATCCCTCCCACAGTCAGACACACCCTGACCTATCCCTCCCAGAGTCAGACACACCCTGACCTATTCCTCCAACAGTCAGACACTCCCTGACCTATCCCTCCCAGAGTCAGACACACCCTGACCTATCCCTCCCACAGTCAGACACTCCCTGACCTATCCCCTCCCACAGTCAGACACTCCCTGACCTATCCCTCCCACAGTCAGACACTCCCTGACCTATCCCCTCCCACAGTCAGACACTCCCTGACCTATCCCCTCCCACAGTCAGACACTCCCTGACCTATCCCATCCCACAGTCAGACACACCCTGACCTATCCCTCCCACAGACACACCCTGACCTATCCCCTCCCACAGTCAGACCCTCCCTGACCTATCCCTCCCACAGTCAGACACACCCTGACCTATCCCTCCCACAGTCAGACACACTCTGATCTATCCCCTCCCACAGACACACCCTGACCTATCCCCTACCACAGTCAGACACTCCGTGACCTATCCCTTCCACAGTCAAACACACCCTGACCTATCCCTCCCACAGACACACCCTGACCTATCCCCTCCCACAGTCAGACCCTCCCTGACCTATCCCTCCCACAGTCAGACACACCCTGACCTATCCCTCCCACAGTCAGACACACTCTGATCTATCCCCTCCCACAGACACACCCTGACCTATCCCCTACCACAGTCAGACACTCCGTGACCTATCCCTTCCACAGTCAAACACACCCTGACCTATCCCTCCCACAGACACACCCTGACCTATCCCCTCCCACAGTCAGACACACCCTGACCTATCCCCTCCCAAAGTCAGACACACCCTGACCTATCCCCTCCCACAGTCAGACACACCCTGACCTATCCCTCCCACAGTCAGACACTCCCTGACCTGTCCCTCCCACAGACAGACACACCCTGACCTATCCCTCCCACAGTCAGACACATCCTGATCTATCCCTCCCACAGAAACACCCTGACCTATCCCTCCCACAGACACACCCTGATCTATCCCTCCCACAGAAACACCCTGATCTATCCCTCCCACAATCAGACACATCCTGACCTATCCCTCCCACAGTCAGAAACACCCTGACCTATCCCTCCCACAGTCAGAAACACCCTGACCTATCCCTCCCATAGACCAACACACCCTGACCTATCCCTCCCTCAGACACACCCTGACCTATCCCTCCCACAGTCAGACGCACCCCTGACCTATCCCTCCCATAGACCAACACACCCTGACCTATCCCTCCCACAGTCAGACGCACCCCTGACCTATCCCTCCCACAGTCAGACGCACCCCTGACCTATCCCTCCCACAGTCAGACGCACCCCTGACCTATCCCTCCCACAGTCAGACGCACCCCTGACCTATCCCTCCCACAGTCAGACGCACCCTGACCTATCCCTCCCATAGACCAACACACCCTGACCTATCCCTCCCATAGACCAACACACCCTGACCTATCCCTCCCTCAGACACACCCTGACCTATCCCCTCCCACAGTCAGACGCACCCCTGACCTATCCCTCCCACAGTCAGACGCACCCCTGACCTATCCCTCCCACAGTCAGACGCACCCCTGACCTATCCCTCCCACAGTCAGACGCACCCCTGACCTATCCCTCCCACAGTCAGACGCACCCTGACCTATCCCTCCCATAGACCAACACACCCTGACCTATCCCTCCCATAGACCAACACACCCTGACCTATCCCTCCCTCAGACACACCCTGACCTATCCCTCCCACAGTCAGACGCACCCCTGACCTATCCCTTCCATAGACGCACCCCTGACCTATCCCTCCCACAGTCAGACGCACCCCTGACCTATCCCTCCCACAGTCAGACGCACCCCTGACCTATCCCTCCCACAGTCACCCTGACCTATCCCTCCCTCAGACACACCCTGACCTATCCCTCCCACAGTCAGACGCACCCCTGACCTATCCCTCCCATAGACCAACACAGTAAATATATAAAAGGTCTGCAGAAATTTCATGCGATTTAAAATCGCATTTTTGTTAGGTAGAAAATAATATTGTTTTACCACCAGTTGGTGAAGAGATCCAGCTTGAGCCCGTCTTGAGGAGCCTGTACCACCAGTTGGTGAAGAGATCCAGCTTGAGCCCGTCTTGAGGAGCCTGTACCACCAGTTGGTGAAGAGATCCAGCTTGAGCCCGTCTTGAGGAGCCTGTACCACCAGTTGGTGAAGAGATCCAGCTTGAGCCCGTCTTGAGGAGCCTGTACCACCAGTTGGTGAAGAGATCCAGCTTGAGCCCGTCTTGAGGAGCCTGTACCACCAGTTGGTGAAGAGATCCAGCTTGAGCCCGTCTTGAGGAGCCTGTACCACCAGTTGGTGAAGAGATCCAGCTTGAGCCCGTCTTGAGGAGCCTGTACCACCAGTTGGTGAAGAGATCCAGCTTGAGCCCGTCTTGAGGAGCCTGTACCACCAGTTGGTGAAGAGATCCAGCTTGAGCCCGTCTTGAGGAGCCTGTACCACCAGTTGGTGAAGAGATCCAGCTTGAGCCCGTCTTGAGGAGCCTGTACCACCAGTTGGTGAAGAGATCCAGCTTGAGCCCGTCTTGAGGAGCCTGTACCACCAGTTGGTGAAGAGATCCAGCTTGAGCCCGTCTTGAGGAGCCTGTACCACCAGTTGGTGAAGAGATCCAGCTTGAGCCCGTCTTGAGGAGCCTGTACCACCAGTTGGTGAAGAGATCCAGCTTGAGCCCGTCTTGAGGAGCCTGTACCACCAGTTGGTGAAGAGATCCAGCTTGAGCCCGTCTTGAGGAGCCTGTACCACCAGTTGGTGAAGAGATCCAGCTTGAGCCCGTCTTGAGGAGCCTGTACCACCAGTTGGTGAAGAGATCCAGCTTGAGCCCGTCTTGAGGAGCCTGTACCACCAGTTGGTGAAGAGATCCAGCTTGAGCCCGTCTTGAGGAGCCTGTACCACCAGTTGGTGAAGAGATCCAGCTTGAGCCCGTCTTGAGGAGCCTGTACCACCAGTTGGTGAAGAGATCCAGCTTGAGCCCGTCTTGAGGAGCCTGTACCACCAGTTGGTGAAGAGATCCAGCTTGAGCCCGTCTTGAGGAGCCTGTACCACCAGTTGGTGAAGAGATCCAGCTTGAGCCCGTCTTGAGGAGCCTGTACCACCAGTTGGTGAAGAGATCCAGCTTGAGCCCGTCTTGAGGAGCCTGTACCACCAGTTGGTGAAGAGATCCAGCTTGAGCCCGTCTTGAGGAGCCTGTACCACCAGTTGGTGAAGAGATCCAGCTTGAGCCCGTCTTGAGGAGCCTGTACCACCAGTTGGTGAAGAGATCCAGCTTGAGCCCGTCTTGAGGAGCCTGTACCACCAGTTGGTGAAGAGATCCAGCTTGAGCCCGTCTTGAGGAGCCTGTACCACCAGTTGGTGAAGAGATCCAGCTTGAGCCCGTCTTGAGGAGCCTGTACCACCAGTTGGTGAAGAGATCCAGCTTGAGCCCGTCTTGAGGAGCCTGTACCACCAGTTGGTGAAGAGATCCAGCTTGAGCCCGTCTTGAGGAGCCTGTACCACCAGTTGGTGAAGAGATCCAGCTTGAGCCCGTCTTGAGGAGCCTGTACCACCAGTTGGTGAAGAGATCCAGCTTGAGCCCGTCTTGAGGAGCCTGTACCACCAGTTGGTGAAGAGATCCAGCTTGAGCCCGTCTTGAGGAGCCTGTACCACCAGTTGGTGAAGAGATCCAGCTTGAGCCCGTCTTGAGGAGCCTGTACCACCAGTTGGTGAAGAGATCCAGCTTGAGCCCGTCTTGAGGAGCCTGTACCACCAGTTGGTGAAGAGATCCAGCTTGAGCCCGTCTTGAGGAGCCTGTACCACCAGTTGGTGAAGAGATCCAGCTTGAGCCCGTCTTGAGGAGCCTGTACCACCAGTTGGTGAAGAGATCCAGCTTGAGCCCGTCTTGAGGAGCCTGTACCACCAGTTGG